GTAGGAGCGGCTTCGAAATAATCCGCTGCAGCAACAACTTTGAGAAATTAAAAGCTTGATTTAAGAGATGTGCCGACAACTATACCGAGCAACAAGGTATACAGTAGATAAATTAATTTGGAATCTTCGGAGGCTGTCGATGAAGGAGTCATCGATGGAGCCAATAGGAGGATAATCGTAGCGCGTATTCCAGTCCGACTCGGGCGCCTCTGAAGAATCTCGTTACACAGTCCGGCAGTTGTTAGAGGTCTCATTGGTCATTAAGTAAAGAGTTTTCAACTAAGATTGACAGCTTCAAGTACCGAATTTTCACTCGGAGGCTCTCGACAAGTCCTAGGATGTTTGCTACATAACGCACCCTTTTTCGCGATTCGATTCAATCGAAAATCAATTAATCAAGTTCTATGGGCCGTCAAAAGTCAAACGTTACGGCGAAACAATAATCAAAGGAAAAATTATTTAGTAGCATCAAATCGTTCAACGTATACAGTTGTTTGAGGCAAACTTAATTTGAAAGAGATGAAAACGTCGGCTCGTCGCTGGGGTTAGTGCATACGCGTACACGCCACGTAAAATATTACACCAAAGTTTTAATTAACCAACGAGAGTCACCACGTACGTATATTATAATACATCGGGAAAATGAAAGAGAGAGAGAGAGAGAGAGGGAGAATCCGAGTGAAGCAGCTAGCCAGGGCTACACGCACACACACACATCGGATGGCAAAAGTTCAGAGGCTTAGGTACTGGAAACATAATCCGGACACATGAAGCTGAAAGAGATGAGTATACGTATAGCTGGAGCGTGTACACAAGTATGGGTGGAGTGTTGGGCGTCGTCGTCGTCGTGTCACACTACTCCTTGATGCGCAATCCCCTCGCACCCGACGCGGAAACGCGACGTCTCCATGGTTACAACATTGAAACTCTTATTCGGCTGCTGTGTTCTCTCTCATCCCCCTTGCAGAGCTTCGTGTCACGCAGTCCCTGTATATATGTGCTCGACAAAATGGAGAGACGCGTTGCAAGCACAAAAGAGAGAGAGAGAGAGAGAGAGCATCAGCAGCCTCCCTCTCGAGAACTGCTACCGCCGAACCGATATATCTATATATGCGATACAACAGCTATCTCTTCGCCTTGAATATATGTATATATCATTATCGTGCTACGTGTCGAGCATAATGTGCCAACTTTTTCTTTCTGGACCTTATTATGCATAGATATATAGATTAGGAGAGAGAATAGAGGAGGGCTGACGCTACTCGCGAGTAATAACGCTGATGAATATACGAGGCAAAGAGCTCGGAGGCATTGTGTGGTTGTGTTGTGTGGAGCATGGGACAGCCCTAGAGCGCTCGGCGTGATTATTTTGCCTTTTTTCCGAGCTGCCGCCTTGTTTCGAGGGTTTCAGAGTCATTCGACGCGCGCGCTCTTGTGCCGTTGTGTTGGCCGCGCCACTTTGCCGAGGATTAATCATTCGGGACTTTGTCCTGCAGCTTTTCAGCCTGCCACCCGATCGTCGCGTTATTTCCGCCCGATGAGTTTTCGCGAGCGCGCGAATCGATAGTTAATTAAAATGTCTGCGGATTATATAACCTGGAAAAAGGAGCTTCGTCATTCGGTCGGCGGGATCCGTCGGCGAAAGATCCGCAGAGCTTGAAACGCCTCTACGCGTATACCCATTCTACATGGCAGGTGCCGCGCGCTCGGGCTCGAGCAATCTAATCGAGCGAGTGGCTCCGCTCTGTCGCGTCTGCGGCTCGCAGCTTGTCATCCTATACACGCCCGCGCCAAAAGCCGCCTATATACATACCTGTTTAAATCCCGGATAGAGCGAGAGAGCCAAGGGCTGCGAGGAGAGGCTAAAAGATGAGCGACACCCGCGCAATACGTACAGGCTGCTGCGGAGCTTGCGGCCCGGATTAAGTGTAGCGGCGGCGGCGTCGGCGGAGGAGTCGGGAGACGCGAGGCATACGCGCCGCTAACAAGCTCGCTGCACGCCACGGGAGCCTCATTTGTCTTATATCCGCTCCGCGTATTATTACTCGGAGCTTCGCGCTTTGCTAATGCCAACGCGACAACTGCAGCAGTCGACCTCCTCGCACCCACGCTTCAATGATTAATTCTGGGTGTGGTATCCGATCTCTCTTCCCATCTCTCCAAGATTCTCTCCTCGCGATCTTCTACTCACCTATCCACATTCGTACAAAGACAAATATTTAAAAACAAATCAGCATACAGATATTCGACAGTGATGGAAAAGAAGAGCACGTTACCACGAATTAGCAAGGGTTTGCGGCAAACATTTCTTAATAAAGCGAGTAAAGGTCGACGATCAGATTTACGTTAAAAGGTTATGCAATTCTAAGAGAGGAACCGAGTCAATTCTCAGTAACATGCTTTTTTTTTCTTAGCAGTGTATCTGCAATGCGACCGCAAATGCTCGCTGTCCACATCGGAAAACAAGTTAATTGTACGAGCTCACACCCGATCAAAAACTGCATCAGGTCAGAGTTGCCGTCAGAAACATAAGCAAGTGGTCGTTTTAGATTCTGCGTAATTGTAACCCGCTTTATATGTATATGCAGCAGCTTTAACTCGCTCAACTTGAGATAATTTAGCGTCGGTTAGGTTGTCTCTATCAGTCCAAGGCGGATACTTGGCACTGCCGGCTTGAAAAGAACATAATTAGTAGCGCTGCGATCTTTGAGATCGAATTTGTTGCGCGCCAACAAGCCGATGAGTCACAGCTCTCTATAGCGCCTATTGATTCTTGAAACTATTTGATAAATATATATATCACTGCGGCGATCCGCAAACGTCGTCGTCGTCGGGCCAGGCCGAGTGACGATCTTTTCTCGTCGCTTAACTTGACCGATTAAAAAAGAGTGTCGTAATCATGCGGCGTTGACGCGTTCTCGTTCCGAGTACGTCGTTTGAGCGTCATTAAGGGCTTTTTTTCGAGAAACGAGAGCGACGCATCGTCCAGCTAAGCGTGCAACGCAAAAACTTGACAAACAAAAATGAATAAATAAAAGTCCGAGTGGCGAGAAGTGCACAGAATGCAAATCATCGACTCTGCAGCTCGCTCTCGCGTCTCCATTCCCATTGCAACGCAGCCAAAGCCACCTAATTATTTCCAATAGATTATGTGCTTGAATACTGCGCACAGAGAGACGCACGCCTCTCAGCAGCATTAATAAAGCATCGCTTGTATATCGTACTCGCAATACGTATATAAAAGCTTACACGTATGTATACGAGGCGTCGAGGCGTAGAATTACAGTCTGCTGCAGGCTGCCGTTGAGAACAAAGCGAGAGGGAGAGAGATGACGAATCAGGGCTTAGGGATATTGCTCGGAGCCAAGTCGCGCGTGCATTCATAGCCTCTATGAGCACGTATATCCACGCGCTATTCGCCAGTCTGACAAGCTCCTATATGTAATATGCCATAGACTATGCAGTAACTCTATATCAACCCAAAGGGTGGATAATGTGCACAAAGTCTCGCTTTGCTTACAAAATGGCTGCGTAATATAAACTATCTAAAATAATCAAAACTCAGATATAGTTTTAAACTTTTTTTATTTTTTAATTTAACAAAAATGCGAAACAAACCAAAATTAACAATAATACATCTATTTTTTGTCCAATAAATATGTAACAACTATAAGAAAAAGTATACCATATTTATATCTCTTATACTGACATCTAACTCTCAAGTTCCACCCAATCATGACTTTTTCTTGGTTTAAATTATTCCAACAGTGAATTCACTATAATACGCCCCCAACATGTGTCACAAGATCATACCAACGACAGATGGATCATTTAAATTCATTCTGTTGTATCAATGTAAAATATTCAAATTTTAACTTTACGAATGACAGGTGTTTTATTGTTTATAATATATATTTTACGTTTGCCCGTTTTCTAGTTCTGAAAATCCGATTACTAGATACTTTCTTACATTAGTATAACAAGATTTTTATTTTCAATTATTACATTAAAAATCTATACAATTATGAATGGACAAATCATAAATTATTAAAAATACTTCAATCTTTATTCCTATTTCGACTCGCTTTCTTATACTTTCATCAAAAAATTCTATTGTTAACACTTAAAATTGAAATTTATAGAAATCAAAGTTTTCTATGTAGCCACAGATCCAATGCAATTTATTCTGCATTTTCAAGAGCAAATATGAATAAACTTGGTACCTTAGCTATATAATTTCAAAATTAAAGCTATGTTGGTTCGTTGTAAGTTGTAAATACCGTATAAAACGATATTTCACAACTCCTAATATCGGTAGCGTGGCCGAGCGGTCTAAGGCGCTGGTTTAAGGCACCAGTCTCTTCGGAGGCGTGGGTTCGAATCCCACCGCTGCCAATTTTTTGCATTAAATCATAAAATATAGTTTAAAAATATTTCTATAAATATTTTTAATTAGATTTAAAGTGCAATGATTTTTTTATATTAAAACTCTGGATTGTAACGAATAATTATTACAGCTAGTTTCTACATTATCGACTTATGTTTCGAGATGTAGGATTTGACTGATCTAGCGAGTGATCAATATATCTTCTGTAAGTACAATATTACATATTTGATTATTTTTAAGTATAATAAAAAAAATAAGTCATTTCAAATTTCAAATCATTATTTCGAAATAGAAAATTTTATAATTAAGAATTCATAAATTTTAAATCACATAGTTTCTTTATCAAATAAAAATTTCCTACTCACTTTATTGATGGTAAATGGCAAATTTTCACTAATTTAACATTTCGATTTTTTTTAAAATGAAATAATACATTTGAATTAAATAAAGCACCTCTCAAATTATTGATCGAAGCAATATCTTGTTTACAAGTGGATGTTGCATAAAAAAGAGTAAATATTTCCATCGTCTGAGATTTTTTTTTTGCACTTATTCCCTCTCTCCCAATATAAGCTCATCTCTTGTATATATTCCCTCACTCTCAGCTTTTGATCAGTACCATAACGACACATCAATACTATCTTAAATAAGATTACATATCTTTCTCTAAATAATACGAAGTATGACTCGAATTTCGCAGCGTATTCAGTCGATCATTGTACAGTGCTGGTAAACTTTTTAAAGCCGTTCATTGCCATTAATATCTGTACAACATTTACGAGTTTCTAATTTAAATCGTGTAGCACATGACAAAAACATAAGGCCTTTAATATCAGCTAGAGCAGAAGCTGTTGTGAGTCCGAAGGAAAAAGTTGAAATAACTCCCGAAAGCGTTTGTGTCTCTCTCTGTCGTCGCTGCACAGAGACGTTTATCGTTCAAATCTGAGAAACGGAAAAAGTGGCATAATCATGACGAGCAGACTTTATTCTTGAAGATACTTATTATGAATGGATAAGTCGCGATCGAACTTCATTGCCACGCATTCGAGTGATGGTCAGGTTAACGACAATAACAATAACTGAGCAAATAATACGGAAATCGAAAAGTAACTCACGCGGTTCGTTTAGAAAAGTCTATACACGCTTAGTAAGATGAGAATAGTGAGAGTGACATTATGGGAGCGAGCTCAGATGTACGCACTGGCCTTGATATACGGATTTTATCTGATAGCGCGTCGAATGCTCAAATGGGCTTGGAACGGAGCGGCATTTTTTCAACTACACGAACGTGATACGCCGCCAGCATGCCTAGTTGACAGTACCCTTGGAAAACATTCTTACGTCAAGATCAAGGTAATTTTTTTTTAAAACATGATGCAATAGCGCTGAAACACTATTACGGCAAAAAATTCATTTCGATGCTATAGGAAAGCCACGAAATTTGAAATATTAATTATTACTCTTGACCTTTATTGATAAAGACTTTCACTGCATTTAAAAACTGACAGAAAAATTTCGGCTTCGGAGATTTATCGTATATCGAACGATTCAATGACGTTCGATCAATTTTAATATCAGCTGATTCACTATTATCAAAGCGTTCCCTTTTCCATAGCAATATTTATTCAAATAATATGCAATTAATATAACAGCAAAGATAATGATTCTTCATTATGGTCGTGGGACCAGATGCAGCAATATTTAACAAATTTCTGATCCTAGATTATAAAATTAAATAAATGTGCCAATTGAGAAATTAACTTTTTTAAATCTCTCTTTTTCTTGAACAGGGAATAAAATTTCACTATGTCGAAGCAGGTAAAAGAGAGAATCCTCTTGTATTACTTTTACATGGATTTCCAGATTGCTGGATTTCCTGGAGAAAACAGATGTCAACTTTAGCTGAATTCTACAGGTAGATAACAATATTTTAGTACAACATATTTTTCTCGACAATGAAAATAATTTTTGATTCTCATTTATAGAATCATATCTTTAGACTTGAAAGGTTTCGGTGACAGTGATAAGCCTGCAAACTCGAGTCAATATAGTATTGAAATTTTAATTGAAGAATTGAAGGAATTTATACATGCTATGGGAGTACAGGAATGTATTCTAATAGGCCACGATCTTGGGGGTTTGTTAGGATGGTATCTAGCTGCTACGCACAAATCTGTGATAAAAAATTTTATTGCTATTTCTAGTCCACATCCAAACTTTTACTGGAAAGGGGTAGGAGGAGAGAGTGTTTTCAATCAAACGTAAGTGAAAATAATTTTCCAACATCATGTCTAGATCAAAATTTTTATTCTTTGAATGTTTTCAGATGGTTACATTTCAGTCGATTGCCGATTTTACCGGAAATCGATGTTCGAACAGAAGACTTAGCTGTGATAACTGCAACATATAAACATCTCTACAGTAAAAAACCATCGCAACAAGCAGAGCAGAATTACATAGAGGCTTACAAATATGTTTTTAGTAGAAAAGGTAGTAAAGTATAATCGAAACTGTTGAATTTTTCAATAATTTAATCATCTTATTTCAGAGGACTGGACTGGCCCAATAAATTATTTTAGAAATTTACCATTTACTCGTTTATATTCGGAAGGACGTGAAAAAATTAAAACTCCAACCTTACTGATCATCGGAAATGCAGATAAATCCATCTCATTGGAGCACATTGTTCAAAGTACAAAATATTTAGAAAAGTTCTCCATTAATGTGGTTGACAAAGCGGGGCATTTCCCTCACCAAGAAAATCCCGAAGAAGTTATAAGTTTTATCAATGAGTTTCTTCAGTGTAAGTAGTAGTCTAAAGTCACCCTTACATATGGATAACTTTTAAAACGATATTGTGACATTTAGCTTCCTCCATGAGTAAGCTTTGCGATGGGCTTAAAAATAAGTTTTTAAACCAGGCATCGTAGGACGATTTTTCGATTTGTTTTTTTTTTAAATTTTGAAAAAAATTCCTGTGTCAGTTGGTATAAAAATACAAATACGTACTCTTTATATTCAAAATTTTTATCTTACTGGAATTGAAAAACTCAAATCGAAGTGGCTATTCAGGGGAAAGTCGTACACCAAATTTTTGATTTTCGTTTACGAAAATGACAACTGTATGGGGAAAAATAGGGTTATCTAGGGTTATTCGAAGTTTCGTTTAGAAATTTTAAAATTATATGTATACGAATTTCCCCTGAATAATCAGATTCAAATAAAATGCATAATTGTCTTCAATTTAAAATAATTTTTTTAACGTGGCAATGAAAAATAAGTTTAATAGTTTAGCTTTTGACAACCAAATCATGAATCGTATATAAATTGAAATTTTTGTGGAAAACTATCTTATTTAATTTTGTTATCTTCGAAAAATTGTGTTAAATCGAAATTCAAGAAAAAAAATTCGCATAGATTTGGTCACTTTAGTAATTGCTTAATTTATTCACTGTATTGAGTAGTATCGAGTGCGGTCAACCCCAATAAAGAGCATAATCGACTTTTGTTTTTTCCAGCGGAAGAACCAGTCAAGGAAAAACCAGCATCCAAAGGCATTGTATCTTCACTGTTAGGATCAACAGTTAAATATGGAAATCAAATGTTCGAAGCTGTGCACAAACGAACAAACGAAGTCGTAAATGGTTTACCTGGAAAAATGATGCTCAATATTGGTCAGTTGAACACGTGATTATCGATAGTAAAAATTTATTTCACGATATTCATTATAAAAACGTTTGGACATTGTAAAGACTTTTTAAATAACTTTAAAATATTTGTAAAAATTTTTTGAAAATTTTTTGATTGTCAATTACATGTTCTTATATATTTTTTATAAGACGTAATTAATGTTTGTTTACTTGTGAGTGATGTTTGTGTAAATAGAGAATTTGTTCGTTATAGTTTTTAATTTTTTGAGAAGGTGTAAATCTGTTACTTGTTCGACACTGATGTATAAATATTTTTTAGATTTTATTATTACCCATTTTAGTACGTGAAAAGTTATAATATGCTTTAAGTTTTTCGTTATTAAAATTATAATGAGTTATATAATAATAATAATTAACTTACTAGTTATAGTTACTGAAAGACTAAAATTTAATAAAATATTTTTTCGGTACAGTATAAAAATTTAATACAAAATAATACTCTACATACTTTTTTGAATCCTAATAGTTGTGTCAATTAAACAATTAAATTCTATTAAGGTTTTTAGCACTCTAATAAAACTTGCATGCATTGAAAATAACATTATAATTATGAAATGATAATTGTGCGATCATGATTTTCATGAACATTCGAAAGATGTACTCCGTTTTTTCAGTCTTTTAGAGATGTTGATTTGAAATTCTCGAGTCTTTTTAAGCTGAGACTTGTCTCCTCTTTTTCCTGAAAATTAAATGAAAATATTTTTAACTGTAACAGAAATGTTAAGAAAGTAATTATTAATGTACTCACTTTCCAAAATTTTCGCCGTCTTCTATCGTTTCGGGTAGTTCAAAATTCATCGTTTCAGGTAACAAGAAACAAAGCCCAGCACCGACTATCGGACCAATGCCAAAGATCAACGGTGGAAGCCAAGGATAAACGATATTCTATGAACAATAAAATTTGTTTATTTTACTCAATCCAAATCTAATTATTATCATTGTTAATTTTATCGATAATGATTGGCTAAAACGTACCATAGTAGCTATGAACGGGGCTATCATGCTACCTATTCTCGCTGCTATGCTTCCAGCACCTACACCGACGTTCCTGACAACAGTAGGAAATACTTCGCTGCTGTAGAGATAGACCGTCGGGAAGGAAATGGACATGGCAGCGATCCCGATGCAAGCCAGGCCCACCTGCACTTTGGGATCTTCGAAGATCATAATAAGTATTAGCGTGATGCCGGAGACGAGATTACCGCCAATGAGAATTTTGAGTCTGGAGACTCGAGATATGAGGAACAGAATAATCAATGTACCAGGAAATTCAACGGCAGCTGAAAAAAATATCAAAAATTAATATTGTACGTAATGTATTTCCTTACGTTATGTTAGCCGCTGCATATCGTTTCAATAATCGCGTAGTGATCGGCTGATGAAATTTCATACTCTACGTGTATTAGACTCGTGCATGCAGTCTGACCGAGTCAAGGGCGTATCGAGCGCGCGCACGAGCGTGAAATTGGGACTCGCGTGCGTACTTGAATGTGTCGATTCTTCTTATTCGCACAATTGTTAGCCTTAGTCAGAGTTTCACTAGATTACTTGGATGATCGTGCAAATATTGTCGAAATTTACCTACCTGAAATGGCTGTATTGACGAAAATATTTCCGTTCAATCGGCCGATGTATTGAGCCAAGCCGAAGAAGCACAATCCGCAAACGAACCAATTGACGCATACGCAAATGGTCTTCAGGCGCATATTTGGCGTAAGGAAAAGGTGCGTAAAATTGTACTTCTTCTCCGGCTCGTCGATCAATTTCTCCTGGCTTTTGTGCGACTCGATGGCGGCCGTGACTTTGCTCAGGGGTATTCGATTCTTCTCCGCGGCTTTGGTCAGAATAGTTGTGGCTTCTTCGCGACGACCCACGGCCAACAGCCAACGCGGTGATTCTGGCACGATCCTGAAATTTAAATAGACAGTCGATCATCTCTTCATTACAGTTCGGCTAATGAATCTTAATCAAGCATCGTTCTAGTTGGTTACAGATTCATGTCCACTTAAGGAACTTATTTGCAACCTTGTAACAGTTGAATAAAAAAAGAAAATCGGTAAAACAATTATAATTATCATTTTCATGCTTCATTTGACACGTTCGCGGTGCACGGCCTCGCGATTTTACTTCAAAGCATTACGCAGTGGTAAACCAGCAAAAATTGCGTAAAAATATTCACATTGTAACATTTCCAGCTAATTCATGGGGAATGGGAAATTTCGCAGAAAAAAAACAACAAGCAATGTGCGCGCATCTTATCGTTTTTACGTATCGCGATTATCCCATTAAAAGAAATTTAAAACTTGATGTCGGCTTACTCTAAGGTTCTTGAGTAAAAAATCAACTAAAGAGCCTATATGAGACGAGCTTGATAACCCATCGCTTCGAACGATCTTTTACAAGCCTCGCATGTCTTTAATGCAATAATCGTTTCCTTCGAATCGCCTCTTAGCTCGACTATGACTTTTTTTCTTCTTTTTTTTCTCATTCCGATGCTAAATTTTATAATTGATCTCTTTCAGGGCATGCGTTGCGTATTTTATAACATCTCCATTCGTTTCTCGTCTTGTACTTATTTGTATTCGAATAATGAATTTGACTTTGAAAATGAATTTGTTCCGAATAAGCCGTAAGAAATCAATAATGTATCTCATTTGAATTACATTTCTTACCAATAATAAGAGAGTAAGAATATTGGTGGAATGGAAACAGCCATCTGGAATCCTGTCCAAGTCCGGGTTAGATAAGCTACTAATGGATTCATGAGAAAACCTAGCAGGAATGGCAGATGAAAGAGAACTGAGAGCGAAGAACGCCATTTAGGGCCAACAATTTCCATTACTGAAAAATTAATACATTTTTTCAGATAAAAAGAGTAAAGATATTATCTTTTCATTTATAACTTGACTTACGTAGAACAAAACTGATGAGCATAGTACCACCAGTGGCAACCGCCGAAATAAACTTGAATACCAGAAAAAGTTCGTACCAATGAGAGTATACAGTGAGAAATCCGGTTACCGATTGCAAAAGTATCGCAATCATCAGTGGTCTTTTACGACCAATCCTGGAAACAGAAATTATGTGTACATAGTTCTACAGTTTATCTGTGAGGGTATCACTGAAAATCTGAGCAAAGTTTTTACCTATCAGACATTGCACTGAAAATCATATTTCCCATAAGTATGCCAAACATCGTTAAAGTTTGAGCTAGATTAGCCAGCTGTGCTCTGTCGCAAACTAAATCCCACTGTGAAATTAAACTAATTAGAGCAAGCTTCATAATTTACGACTTTGATTTTCATCAACGGGTACCTCGCTTATGATGGTCTTATCGAAAATTGATCGATCGTAATTGAACTGTGAACACTTTTCCATGTGGCCGCCTCCAACGTCGACGAGGCATTGATTTAATCTGCTGGACGTGTTGTCGGCTGGTGTAGGCGATGCACACGTAAAATTACCTGGTGGAGCCAGGAAAACAATACCCAACTGATGCCAAGCTACGGGAAACTTCACGAGCGACAGAGCCACAGCGATGACAATGTGCCATGGGCCCAGCGTGCCCATGGCTTCCTGGACGAGGTCAACCTCATGTTTTTCTGCAAAGATGAATTTTTTTTTTTTTGGTTAAGAATATAATTTAGGAATTTTTAATCTATCAAAATCGCACGTGCACGATTGAGCCTAAAAAACTCAACTTTTTACGCCTAGTAATAATGTATTTTCCGTACTCATGTTGGAATCACTAATTTCTAACTAAATAATCGAACCACTGCACAAACGAGAATGAGAAAATTAGCTTTTTCGAGCTCACTTGCATGCGTCAATCGATGAATTATCTATCAGTTGGGAAATTGATTAAAAATGTAAGCACGGCCATTCACAATGACATTTCGTAGTCTTTGGTAGTTTGTACGACCTTGTTGCATTCGCGATTTTCACAAAACTACAGGAGCAGCAAACGAATTTGATGCGTGTTCGTTTGCAAACCTTGATGTCAAATTTATCAAATCCAATGGCAAAGCTTAAAAATTAAAAAGTCTCGATTTCTTGCTTCAATGCATTTTGAATGAATTCAATCCGATATCATCAGAAACCTTATCTCTTTTGTAATTCATATTTTGCGATGAACTTAAAATAGTCATATTTTTCGATTGATGCCGATCTTCAGTTATCACTAAGCACGTGTTTCGAGTATTAGGTTGCATCACTTCTTGACAATACGTAATTATTTCATGGTTTCGCCTTCATTTACAATTAATATCTACTTATTAAGCATCGCAATCGACAATGCCTTATAAAACCTAGTGCTTGAAAAAGTCTATAAATATTTTTGATCTTGACCTAACCAGATATAATTCTTTAATGTTGCACATCGTTAAATTAAATAAAAAATAATGGATCGGAATTCTTAATTTCGACTCAAGTAAAGAGTAATCGTAACATTACTTATCTAAAAACTACATTAAAAAATCAAATTTTATTTCAGAGAATTTTTAATAAATTCTTCTAATATCAGCATTGAATTTCAAAAATATATTTTTACGAACTTTCGAGATTGCCGTTTGTTGACACTTAAATGGGTCATGAGGTAACGGAAACTTGGAATGATTCGTATTTAAATCTTAGCATTTACTTCCATGTTGTGTAAATCCTATTTTTGATAAAATGTATGCCAATTTTATGCTTTCGGTACATTCGGATAAGAGTCATATTAAAGCCAATCGAGACCGCAAAAAATAAATTTCTATCGCCAAAATTTTTACTCTAAAATTGATTATTATTGGGTAGTCAGAGAAAAATAGTAAATAGCAATATGGTATCCAATAAAAACTTTAGGATTTTTTTCGTTAAATGTTTGAAAATATTGATTGAAAATTGAATTCAATTATAAACTAAAAAATGAAGTAAAAAATTTTATTATAAAATTGTTTGACACTAAAAAACACGAAATATTGGAGTACTTTATTTCATGAATCTGAAAACTTTGCACTTTTGCGTATTTCATAAGAAACTTGTGCACAGTAATGAAATACAATGTCCTGTAATCTTTTGGAAGAAAAATTCATTGTCAAGACCTCAATCAACTAGTAAACTCAACTAGTAAAGTTTTTGATTAGGTAAAAGCAATTATTCTTTGAACTAATAAAAAAAATAAAATATTAAAATTATAGATCAAAATTATTTTCAATGATGAAAAGATTGGAATTCTAAAAATACTCCAATTTTTGCGAAAAAGTTTATAAAAATTTTGTTGCACTTCGTGGTATTTGGATTTTTTGAGTTAATACATTTATCATTATTTCCTGCGACAAAAAAATAATTAATAACCGTTCTGAAATTCAAACGCTTAACTTTTTTTCATGAATAAATGAAAGTATTTTTTCAAAAATTAACGCTTTTAACTTCAATGTAAACGACTAAACTTGAGAAAAAATATTAAATAGACAGTAGTGCATATGCACTGGAAAATTTTCTTCTCTAGCTAAGTATTTAAGTTCCCTTAAATCGGTCCCTTAAATTAGGGAGCACAAAAGTGCCTAATAGTTTCTATAGAATGTACATAGGAGTGATGCAATTCTCTGGCGACGACTTATTTTTAGTCACAGCAGAAGCGAGACTTGCACACACATTTTTTGTTACATCGGTTAGATTAGACTTCATCCGTGATAAAAAATAAAATAGCGCGAATAAAAAGAATTACAAACTTACCTTGTTTTTCTAATTTATTTTTGACTTCGTCATCCGCTGAATCTCCTTTCATTTCGTTCATCATCACTGGGTATATTGAAGAGTTCATATAAATACTGAGACACCGTATAGTCACTATCTAATGTACAGTCGACTAGAGCAATGCACACTCGCCGGTCAACTGTCCGACTGAAGTAGCTCAGCTCACGCTTGTACTTATACGCGCTCGATCGTTTTCATCCAAATGACGGCTGTACCGAGTACAAGAGTAAAATTAAATTATTCGTTTTCGTTTATTTTTAATTTTAACTCCTTGAAAGAACGATAAGTGATTTTTATATTCATGTTTATATAATTCACGATTATTATTATAAAATAAAAATAACACTAAAAATTTTTTGTGCCACATAAGTTTGATTTATAAACAATCATCTCGAATAAGTCATCATTCTTTAATCGAATCAATTAACGAGTAATTCAATAATTGGGTAGTAATAAAGGTGATTAAATACTAAACACAGATCTCAAGTAAGATAAATTTCTTTTTAATAGAAAATTCAAGCGAACCGATGCCTCCTCATTAATAAAGTTTTTATACATATTGTAAAAATATATGCATATCAAATATGTACATTTTTGACAATACATCTCGTTTAACAAAGCAAAATACGATTACGGATAAAACAACAAGTCATACTTAAATGTACTTAAAATTGAAAGTATCAAAACAGTTACATTACGAGTTTCGCGCAAACATAGATAGCTTTTCACTTGCAGTTCGCTTAGGTTGATTGTCACTGTTACTGTTTTCGTCGTCTAATTTTCTCTTTTTACTCGTATCCTCTTCTGTCATACTACTATTACCATCAATCTGGTTATTCAATTCGGCCTGGTATTTCTGGTAAGCGTATTTAATTCGCTCTTTGCTATCTCCCTTAAACTCTTTCTCGATAGCACTCTTATTTTTTGGATACCACTTTGTAAATAATTCTTTTGCTTCAGGTTTGCCATTTGATTTATTCACCTTACTATTATTAGGTACTGCAAGTACCGGTGAATTAGATTCAGGCTTTGTTGACACTTCAACTTTATCTAGTCCCGATAAGCCTGCGGTAAAAAATTAATTTGTTAATAAAACTTCTCCAAGGCCAAAAAATTGTTCGACCTAAAATTTAACAAACCTTTTGAAACCGGTGTTGTACTTTTTTTACTCAAAAAAGGATTACTTCTTCTAAATGGCTGACTAGGTGTTAAAGGTTTAATCTGTATTTCAGGTGTTTTAACAACAGGTGTTAGTAACAGATCTTCTTGATCTTCTACCATATTAATTTCATCATTAAACATGTCTTCTTGAGAATCTACTCCTTTCATAACTTCATCGGGCTCCTTGCTATCAGCAATATCTTTTAATTTATTTGCCAAAGACAATTTTTGGCTTCTGTCAGCAAATTTAATTGCCAATCTCAAAACTCTCTCAGACGCAATATATTGACATAATTCTACGGCACGGAAATCGGCATTATATTTAATAGCAAGCTGCAAAAATATTTACGTAAATAAAGATACGTCAAGAAACATTATGATTTATAAAAATAAAATTTACAGCGATTAGCATTAGAAGATCATCTTCTTCATCCATTGGATTGCTTCCGAACTGCCACACTTTGGCTTCTTTTTGTGATCTCTCGGTATCAGGATCACAAAGTGGTACTGTCAAAGATATTTCGCTAACAATCGGTCGCGGCGATGTTGGTGGATAATGACTTCCCTTACAAAGGATACATCTTGCGGTTCGATCCGATTCATTGATTCCAATAATAAAGTAGTGGTCAAATTTGCCTTTATTCTTCAATAAAATTTAAAATTATAGGAATAAATCAAATAATAATATAAGTATGAATTTCAGTAAAGAGAAAAACTTTACCATTCTGCTAGTATCACATGCTACTCTCCATAACATTGCTTTTTTATCGTAAATATTAATGATACCCTTTGAGTCCATTACCACAGGAGAGTAAAGGTCGGAAAATCCTACCCACATTAAAGTTGCTTCGGTGGAAAGTGGAATAGGTAGTGTTTTACTTTTCAAATTTGGACCCAGCACATTTATCCATAGCAAGCCCATATTCTGATCATTTGCACTAATTCCTGAAGATTTATAAAACATTTTTATAATTACAAAGTGTTTTGAATGTTTTAATGTTAAGAAATAAATTGTTTACCTATACTTGAATGGTAAACAACAGCTAAATTTTGTCCCAATCCATTCATAGCCACAATTTCTCCTGGTAATGCAATGATTTCCCTCTGTGTACCACATGGCATGAAAAGTCGTAACATCCTAGAAGTTGTAGCAACTGCAACGAAATTTGATCCAGCTGCAACCGCTAAAGCATCTTCCCCTTCTGGTAAATCTATCATCCATTCTTTATTTCCTGGACCCCATGCTTCAATGAATAAAAAATAGGAACATTAAAGTACATTTATCAAAAATTGAATATAATATAAAATTTATAATCTTCGTACCTTGCAGAGGCACAACAACAAGTTTACTAGGAGTCAACTGAGTGTCAATTTCTGAAGCTGGTGCAGCAAGTACAAGAGCAGCTGTAGATAATGCTGCCATCGTATGATTGAAATAATTCATCTTATGCATATTATGATGAATATTAACATCATGAAAATCAACTTGTATTTCAGAAGTTTCTTGATCTTCTTGAGAAAAACACATTACAATACCCACATCGTTGTAAGCCTACAGAAACATCAATTTTTTTTTAAATTTATAATTTGTATAATTTCTAAAAAAATATTGTACCATGTAACGATTTAGTAAATGGCTTGGAGAAGATCCAGGTTGAAACGGTTCTTGTAAATTAAATTCTGGCACAAAAGGTTTTTCATCATCTTTTTTTATAGATGCAACATCAGATGCTGACTTCTGGTCATGGTCCAGAACAGATGCCTTTATTTTATTAATCGAAGACATGTCGTCATCGTCATCATCAGAATATTTGTCATGATTATTATAAATATCATCCAAATTATCATCATTACTGTCACCATTATCATCTTCTGTAATTTTATTTTGTTTTGTTTCAGAATGATAATTGGTAGAGTTTGTTTTATTTGAAATAATCTAAAAGAAGATTTTTAATTATTTTAATTTAATATCTGCGAATTTAATAATAATAATAAAAAAAAAAAGACTTACAACTTCAACACAGCCAAGTTGACCAAGAGAATCACAGAAAGCAATTTCATTAGATTCACTAGGATTCCAAACAAGTGCTGTAATTTTTGCATTCTGATGATATTCTACAAAGCCTACTGCATCTTTGCTTGAAATATCCCAAACAATCAATTCCCCATACACAGAACTTGCAGCTAAATACTTTCCACATTCAGAGAATTTGCAAATGTTGAGGTCCTGTAAAAGTTGAAGTATAAAATGATTTTCAATTTTTTTTTTTTTGCCACATCACATTGCAATATTGTAAATTTTTTAATACATTTTTAATTTCATCTGATTTTAATCTGAAGACTTCTTGCCAAGATGATCTTTCTGTTACAATAACTTCTTTTCCTTGAGGATATGCAAGATATGCCCCACTTTTAGGACAAAATGATGGTACTGAATAAGTTTTTGCATTATAAAATGAGTTACATTTTGGAACAACATTGTTCCATGTTTGAACAACTTTTTTTTCTTTAATACTCCAAACTCGTATTGAAGTATCACCACTTGATGAAGCCTTTGAAAAAAAATTATGATACATTTTACTGAATAGTATTTATTTTAAATATATTTAAAAATTTATAATACTCACAACAAATTCATCTTTGGGATCTAAGGATAATCCCAGTACAGGGGCTTCGTGACCATTTAGTTCAATATTTTCCATAGTTACAATGTTTGAAATATGAATCCTCATGTCACTAAAATCAATAAAGTCAATAAAGTAAATATGATATATGTAATCAGAAATTAGTTGTTATTATTTACCTACCTTGCACCTGATGCTATTAAATTACTTTTCTTATTTGTTGCTAAAGCCGTAACAGTAGCTGAAAATCTTGTTACTACTCCCACTTTATCAAGATCCGGATGATTAAGAATTTGAACGGTATTATTATCATTACCCACGTACAGTTTTTCATTCTTTTTGCAAAAATTACATTTGATATTATATATTATTATTATAATAAACTAAAAAAAAATAGAAAAATTTTAAGTCAATATTAATATTTTTACATACTTTTGAAATCACTGCAGTGGCTTGCTCAGAAATACAAGTCGCGGATGGGTCATCATCCATCAAATTTACCCAAGCCCTAACATCTCCGTCTGTACCACAGGTAATGAGTCCACCCCTATAAAGTAATTATTTAGTCAAAGAAAAGTTTTTTAATCATACATGTAATGGAAAAATAAACTTTACTTTTCACCATCGAAATAACACACATCTGTATGACCCTCTGGATGGGCGTATCGAGTTGGTTTCTTAACAAGCGGCATGTTAATTTATTGTTTATTTTAAATATACTTTAAGTTTAAAATCAAAGTATTCTAGGCATAAAATGTTTATAAAAAAGACTGCACAGTCGAAGTCTATACTGTAGCTAAGTGCTATCGTTGTTTCACAACAAGTAAATTGAACAATTATCAAACTGTATTTATTTTTTAGACACTTGCAGCACTAGCTACTTGAAAAATTGACAGTGCTCTCTTGGGTATTCAATTTTTATTTCTGTTTTTCAGCCTGACTCCAAATAATCTGAATCCTGTTAGCAGAATTTTTATTGACTGCGTTTGGTTATAAAATTTCCCGCTATTTCTTCGTGTGCAGTATGATGGAAATAAGTGACCTCTATAAACAGCCGGTGAACGCGAGTACTTAACCAACCAGCCAGCTGCAGCATAAGAATTAAGATTTCACCGGTCTAGTTTTATGTCTAAAATTTAGGAGTTTTATTGCTGCTTTATATTGTTCCAAGCACGTGAATTTTCATGCATGTGCATCATAAATTAGTAAATTATAACTTTTTAATGATTATACACGATATAAGTATGTAATGATACATATTTTTAAAAGCCAATCTTGTTTTGTGTCATTCAGTGAAATAATTAATTTTGTTCAATCCGAAGTGTTATGGAGTATTACTTGATTAATTTCATTTCACAAATAGATATTAGATATTGATAAATTGATAAAGATTTAATAAGTTTACGGAATCAATTAAAATTATTCTGGTGGACCAATTTTATAAGTACGCACATTATAAATGTGCTTGTAGTTTATAGACAACCAAATTAGAAGAAGGTTAGAGTTTCACCCGTCAACTCCAGTTTTGTTGTCGTAAACAAAACCAGACATAGTAAAAATGTTCGCCTACAGTGAAACAATTCACCCTGCTACTGGGGTAGAGCATGCAATTACCTGCCATTTTTTCAATCGAGTTGAAAAAAGTCTTGTTGTGGCTGGTGCTAATGTTCTTCGTGTTTTTCGATTAATTCCTGATGTTGCCGACTTGCAGAAAAAAGAAAAATATTCCGGTTTGTTCAATATCTCTTTCTCTTTCTCTCTATTATTAATCTTTGAATTACTTTATAATCAAAACTATTCTTGTATAGAATCTCGTCCTCCAAAGATGAGGCTTGAATGTCTAGCTCAATACACATTGCATGGAAATGTTATGTCGATGCAAGCAGTTCAATTAATAGGCTCATCAAGAGATTCGCTACTATTAAGTTTCAGAGAAGCTAAACTGTCTGTTGTAGAATATGATCCAGAAGTTCATAGTCTTAGAACAGTATCATTGCATTATTTTGAAGAAGAAGAAATTAAGGTAAGTTATTCTACTTATATTAACATAGCATTAATTCATTTAATAGCCATGATTTAATTGATTGGTTTGATAAAACAGGATGGCTGGACCAATCATCATCATGTTCCTATAGTTAGAGTTGATCCTGAAGCAAGATGTGCTGTGATGTTGATTTATGGTCGAAAACTAGTGGTTTTACCCTTTCGCAAAGATCCTATTTTGGACGACGGAGATGTAATTGAAACTTCTAAATCAAACAGAACACCAATCCTAGCTTCTTATATGATTGTACTAAAAACATTAGAAGAAAAAATGGATAATATTATTGATTTGCAATTCCTTCATGGATATTATGAGCCAACATTATTGATTTTATATGAGCCAGTAAAAACTTTTCCTGGGTAAATAACTTTGAGAATTTTTTATTTTTATTTACAGTAAATTGTAATATAAATTAATTAGATTCAATATTTAGGCGAATAGCTGTCAGGCAGGACACTTGTGCAATGGTGGCAATATCATTGAATATTCAACAAAAAGTACATCCAATAATATGGTCCGTTTCAAATCTACCATACGACTGCTATCAGGCTGTACCAATAAAAAAACCTTTGGGAGGTACTCTTATAATGGCCAACAATTCACTTATATACTTAAATCAAAGTATTCCTCCTTATGGTGTATCTTTAAACAGTCTTGCTGATAATAGTACAAATTTTCCTCTAAGTAAGTGTTAAAAAAAGTTTCGTTGCATTTAATGGTCCTGTGTCATAATTTTTTTTTTATAAGCACTCTATATTTTCATTATGAATTAGATTTATTAGTTTGTTATATTAATTTATCAAATTTCCAGAACCACAAGAAGGTGTAAGAATTAGCTTAGAAAGTTCTCAGGTTGCATTTGTCTCTTCTGATCGTTTAGTGATATCCTTAAAAACTGGAGAATTATATGTTTTATCTCTTTTTGCCGATAGCATGAGATCTGTTCGAGGTTTCCATTTTGATAAAGCTGCTGCTAGTGTGTTAACATCATGTGTAAGTTTATAATGACTCAAATATTATTTTGGATTAATGCAAAGTTTTACATTTTATATAATTCATTGTTTTTAGGTATGCAAGATAGAAGAGAATTATTTATTCCTAGGTTCAAGATTAGGAAATTCTTTACTATTAAGATTTACTGAAAAAGAAACTGATAATATCAATGAAATCGCGATACTTGAAAAATCTCTAAATAGTAATAATGGAGAAACCCCCTGTAAAAAAATCAAACAAGATTTTCTTGAAGATTGGATGGCATCTGATGTCTTAGAAATTAAGGATCCAGAAGAATTGGAAGTTTATGGTAATGAAACACAAGCATCTATACATATTACATCTTATACTTTTGAGGTAATTTTTTTCATTTATATATTATATAACAAAATAAAAATTTTTAATTTAAACTAGATGATATTATCATTTTTTCTTTTTCATTTTAGGTCTGTGACAGTTTACTAAATATTGGACCATGCGGTAATATTTCTATGGGAGAACCAGCATTTCTATCTGAAGAGTTTGCGAATAGTCAAGAACCAGATATTGAATTAGTAACCACGTCTGGTCATGGTAAAAATGGAGCATTATGTGTTCTTCAAAGAACTGTTCGACCACAAGTACGTTCATTTTGTATGCATTAGATATTCAATGTATTTTAAAAAATACTCATTTTGATGTAATTTTTTAGATCATAACTACATTTGTTTTGTGTGGGTATGAAAATATTTGGTCAGTAGTTGACTCATCAGTTAATGATGGTAGATCAAAAAGTGAAACAGAAGGATCGCATGGGTTTTTACTTTTGACACAAGAAGACTCCACAATGGTACATAATATTTTATTAAAATTATTTCACGTCTCTTCTCATTTCCCAATTCTGATTCTCATACATAATTTTTCTAGATTCTACAAACAGGACAAGAAATTAATGAAGTTACAGTACAAAGTGGATTCAGCATTCAAGGTACTACTATATTTGCTGGAAATGTTGGTAGTAATAAATACATAGTTCAAGTTACCACAGCAGGTGTGCGTCTTTTACAAGGATTGGAACTAGTGAGTTTTATTTAATTTTTGAGCCAGAATAAAATTGGTTTATAAAACTAAACATTTTTAATTTTTAGATTCAACTTTTACCAATGGATTTGGGATGTCCTATTGTACACGCTAGTTGTTCCGATCCTTACATTGTTCTATTATCTGAAGATGGGCAAGTTGTACTAATAACTTTTAAAGAAATCAAAGGGTTGGGAAAATTACACGCTCAAACTGTAAATTTAATGTTTGTAAGTTTCATTTTTATCATAAACCAATAACCTTGTATGCAATAGTAAAAATAATTAATTAATAAAATTTTTAGCGCCCGCAAATAGAGACTCTGTGTGTCTACAGGGACGCAAGTGGTCTTTTCACAACAAATTTACCTGAAGAAATAGATGAAGAGGTCCAAGAGAATGAAAAACTTGATGAACCGCAAGTTTTTGACAATGTTGACAATGAAGAAGATTTATTATACGGTGATACAACTGTTTTTCAAATGCCCGCATTACCGGCGGCAAAACCTCAAGAACCCACGAAAAAAGCCCCATGGTACAGATTGTTTTTTCATTGATTGTTAAGGAGTTCACATAAATGCGCATTAAATGACCGTTTGTTATTACTTAACAGGTGGCAGCAACATTTGCAAGAAGTGAAACGTACATTTTGGTTATTTTTATACAGAGATAATGGCATCTTAGAAGTTTATTCGTTACCGGAATTGCGATTATCATATTTAATAAAAAATTTTGGATTTGGTCAATCTATTCTACATGATAGTATGGAATTTACAACTCTTAATTCTCAACCAAATGAACCAGTCAGTCTTGAAATGCAGGTAATTTAAGAAAATTTTTTGATCTGTAAACTATATTTCTAATTATTTAAAAAAATTATTTTGACCTATAAGGTTCAAGAAATGGCGATGGTAGCTTTGGGCCATCATGGAAGCAGACCAATGTTGATCATTCGCAACAATACTGAAGTACAAATTTATCAAGTATATCGATATTCAAAAGGATACCTGAAGTTGAGGTTTAAGAAAATGGATTGTCACTTTTTAGTTGGATTTTCAAAGTAAGATATTGATTATCATATTATGAATCTGATTTAGATGATGTTAATTTTAATTGGGTTTATTTAGCAGATTTAGACCACAATCCGAACACATGTCACAGATGAATGAGACAAAATTATGTATGATAAGGTATTTCAGTAATATAGCCGGATACAATGGAATATTTATTGGTGGTGATTATCCTCACTGGTTATTCTTAACCGGAAGAGGAGAACTTAGAGCTCATCCAATGAATATAGATGGACCTGTAAAGTCTTTTGCTCCTTTCAACAACGTAAATTGTCCTCAAGGTTTCTTATATTTTAACAAAAAAGTAAATATTTTTTAAAAACCAATTTTAAACTTTTTTTTGAAATTTTTCTAATAAATTATTATCTTAATAGTCAGAACTAAGGTTCTGTGTATTGCCAACTCATTTATCATATGACGCTCCATGGCCTGTCAGGAAAGTTCCACTGCGATGTACTCCTCATTTTGTAACATACCATCTTGAAAGCAAAACTTATTGTGTTGTTACGAGCGTGGCTGAACCTCTAAATAGCTACTATAAATTCAATGGTGAAGATAAGGTGAGCAAATATTTAAATATTTACAAAAAAGGGATCCTCCTTTATTAATTCACTTTGTATTTTAAAGGAATTCACTGAAGAAGAAAGAGATGAAAGGTTTGTTTATCCAGTACAAGAACAATTTAGTATAGTTTTATTTTCCCCCGTCTCCTGGGATGCTATTCCAAATACAAAAATTGATTTAGACCCATGGGAACATGTAACCTGCTTGAAAAACGTTTCGTTGGCATACGAAGGTACAAGATCAGGTTTAAAAGGATACATAGTTGTAGGCACTAACTACAATTATGGTGAAGATATCACAAGTAGAGGACGGGTACGTAAATTTCATCATCTCTATAACAAAAAAATTTGTAATACTAAGAATTTTTTAATTCTTTTTCTTAGATTTTTATTTTTGACATCATTGAAGTTGTACCAGAACCTGGTCAACCACTTACAAAAAATAGATTTAAACAAATTTATGCTAAAGAACAAAAGGGACCTGTTACAGCTATAACGCAAGTTTGTGGATTCCTAGTTTCTGCCATTGGTCAAAAAGTAAAGAGTAAATTTGTAATACCAAAACTAAATTAAGATAATTTTCAAACTCATAAAAAATCTCTTTTTTCAGATTTATATTTGGCAATTAAAAGATAATGATTTAGTAGGTGTGGCTTTTATAGATACTCAAATTTATGTATGTCAAATGATAAGTATCAAGAGTCTGATTCTTGTTGCTGATGTTTACAAATCTGTGAGTTTATTAAGATTTCAACAAGAATATAAAACGCTTTCTCTTGTCAGTCGTGTAAGTAAAGTACTAAAGGATTACAAAAACATAATATTCAAAGTGTTTTATTATTTTTCAATTTTTTTTGCAGGATTTTAGAACTACTGAAATATATTCGATTGAATATTTTATACAAAGCAATGAGTTGGGATTTATAGTAGCAGATGCAGAAAGTAATATTTCTATATTCTCATATCAACCTGAGTCATCTCAGAGTCTTGGTGGTCAAAAATTAATAAGAAAAGCTGATATTCATTTAGGTCAAAAAATTAATACATTTTTTAGAATAAAATGTAGAACCTCTGATCCAGCTTATTCTCTTGTAAAATTTTCTGGTAGCGAATCTCGTCATGTAACTATGTACGGTAAGTGAAGTTCTTAACCGATTTTAGGTTTGTAATTTTGTATATAAACTCAAAAACACAAAGCGTAACAAATTATTTTTGATCTTCAGCAACTTTGGATGGAAGTCTTGGATACATTCTTCCGATACCTGAAAAAACATATAGGCGATTTCTTCTCTTACAAAACGCTTTGATTAGCCACCTTTATCATATAGCTGGTTTAAATCCTAAGGCATTCAGGTGAGAATTCAAAACGCAAAATTATTCAAAATAATATGGAATCTAAATTAATATTATGTTTTATTATCAAGGACATACAAAAGTTATCTAAGATCTCAAGGAAATCCAGCAAGGAACATCATAGATGGAGATCTTGTGAAAAAATTCCTTTGTCTGCCTATTAATGAAAGGACTGAAATTGCCAAAAAAATTGGTGTTGCACGAGTAAAAGAAATTATAGATGAAATTCATGAAATTTATAAACAAACATTGCATTTTTAAAAAAAATTTTTGCATGAACAATGTATATGTTTGCAATTAAATAATTTGTATATATATATTAAAAGTGTATAATAATATAGTATTATAGCGAATAAATCATGTGATTTTTAAATAAATGTCATTTTTATCTTTTTACTTTCAAGAGTTATGAAGGTACTCTTTGAACTTTACTGTTTATGTTAATTTATCAATGTGTTTTTGTTTTGAACTTTTTGTAACCAATATAACATTGATCTATTAAATTCAGGAGTTACTTATTTTAATTTTATTAAAAAAATTATAAAATGCAAAAAAATAAGACATCTATATTATCAGAAGGTGAGTAAATAGTTGTGAGGTAGGGTATAATCATTTTGAAATTCAGTCCATTTCCATGGTAATATTGAACCATCTTTTATAATTGAAACCAATCTGTAAATTCTATGCAAAAGTATATCCATGAGTGTAAATTATATTCATTTTAGAAATATTTTAAAAACTTTTATCATTGCAGTGGAACCATCTCAACTCCAAAAGAGATTAATCGAAGCTTTTGAAGTTTTTGATAATGCAAGGAGTCAGCAAGTAGATGTCCGAGAACTTGGAACTATTATCAGATCGGTAGGTTAGTACCTAGCACAACTATAGATAGTGTTATAGTTTAATCGATATATCGATGCTTTAAAGAGTAATATTAATCACAGGATGTGTAATAACAGAAGCTGAATTACAAGAAATACAGGTTGAAGTTGAAGACGTTGAAAACAATTGTGTTCCTCAAGAGCGTTTTGTCGATTATATGACAAGAGCCATAACTGAACAAAAGTAAACTCTTTTCAATATAAGTAAATGAATTTTAAATAATTTAATATTGTAAATGTTAATCATTTTAAAAAATTGGTAGATATCGACCTGCAGATCCTGAAGATTTATTAAAAGCTTTTCAAGTACTAGATCCTGATAGTAGAGGATATATTTTTAAAGCAGACTTGGAAAAAACAATAACTGAAATGGGAGAGCCTTTTACAGCTCAAGAAGTGAGCGAAATGATGTCAGTTGCTTGTGACCCCCAAACAAATAAAATCTATTATGAAGATTATATTAGTTTATTGATCGTAAGTATTTTTTTTTTGTTGTAATTAGAAATTTATATTATTTTTCCTAATTCACGTTGTTTAATGTAAATGATCAGCCAAATATACCAAAAGAAAAAAATATCTACTTATTGGAGCATAATATTCCAATGATTCGAGGTCGTCCACCAGGAAAATAAAATTTAAATAGGGAAAAGTGAGATTAATTGTTTTTGAATAAAATATAAATATATATACCATTTTTTTAATAAAAACCACAATAAAAATATAAAAACTATTATGTAACAAAATATACTTGTGTTTCACTTCTAGAATTATTTGAAATATCTCACAGATAAAAGTTTGCTATGATAATTTTTCAACAATTTATGTAACTACATTCAGTTACATTACAATTTTGAAAAAATGGGTGGATCTCCCTTAGTAGCTAATGCTGTGGCAGCGTTTACAAAATCTTCACTTTGTAACATCACTTGATTTCTCATTAACTAAAAAATAAATTTGAATACATTAGAATTCATTCTAAGAAAACTTTTTTTTTCAGGTTGAATAAATCATATCTGCATTAAAATAATACTTACAATATGATTCAAACTGTCTTCAACAGAGTGATCTCTTGCATAGTTCAAATTGAGTTTTGAACCCTGAACTGCAACTGGACTTTTGGATGCAATCTGTTTTGCTACACTCATGGCCTTATCCATTAAGCTATTTAGTGAAATAAAATGAATGTCAGTCATATCTTTTAAAAAACGTTTAAATTATACTTTGATAGTTCCCATACCTTTTATGGTCATTCATAACTTGACTAACAAAACCATATTGTAGTGCCTCAGTTGCTAACATTTTTCTTGCAGTGTATGTTAATTCTTTGACCAGGCTTTCAGAACCAATGATTTTTGGAAGCCTCTGAAGAGCTCCTACATCAGCAGTCATTCCTAACTCGACTTCTTTAATTTGAAACCATGCATCAGAAGAACAAAATCTAATATCAGCAGAACATATCATATTAATGCCACCTCCAATACATGCTCCATGTACTGCTGCAATAACTGGTTTTGAACACTGAAAGAGTCAAATATTAAATTATTTTAATCATGTTAAAAAAAACTAATAGCTTACATTGTCAATAGCTGTGAAGGAATCTTGATATTGTTTGATTGTTTTCTCTAAAATTTTACACTTTCTTGCTACATCTTCAACATCAGCTAATTTTTGAAATAATCCCATAGCATCCATCAAATCTATACCTGTTAATTTTATTTCATATAAAAAAAAAGGAAACAATCAAAGATATTAAAAATAAGATATTAATGAAGTTCTTCAAAAGATGGAGTACCTGCACAAAATATCTTTCCAGCCCCTGAAAGAACTACCACTCTGCAATCTGGATTGTTTGATAATTCATTAAAGCATTCACCAATTTCTCTATAAAAATCATTTATTTAGTTATTTATACCATTGATAAAATTATTAGAAAAGTCTTTACATACAACCACATGGAATTGGACAGAGCATTTAATTTTTCTGGTCTATTCAATTGAACATGAAAGACAGAAGATGATGGTTCAGTCACAGCGAGTGAATTATAATTTTTTAAAGGCATTTCTGGCAATTTTTTATTAAACTTAGATGAAAAATTATTTAAGCCTGTATGAAAAAAAATGTTATATGTAATTAAGAAGTACATTTAAATTTGCTTAGTCATGATTAAACGATAAGATTTAATTTTATGCCAAGTTATAAGAATCTTACCTTTTACATTCGCAAGTCGAATCTTTGATAATACACTATGCATGATAAATAACAAAGTATTAAACAAATGCTTCAAGATGTTTTTTCTTAATCGAAAAAGAGGTATGTCAGTCGAACAGTATTTGTCTATATTGTCCAATCGGAGAATGAGCGAGCATAGTGCGAAAAAATTCGCGCTACCAACTAAAATATCAAGTACTATGCAAGATTGAAGACGTACCTTTATACCAATTAGTATTTACTGACCTATACACTATAGCGGCTTGAATCATAGGATGCCTAAGTTGGCAGTACGGATTGTTTTTAATGCACTGAACTCGCAGACACAAGTGCATCAAGTATTTGGCCTGCTAAATTTGCCAGGTATTTATACATGCTCTGATATTCACGATAACATCATATGAGCTAATAATGTCAGCTATTATTTAGATCAAAATAAAAATAAAAATCTCAACAGTTGAGTTTAAAACACATGTTATGATTTGGAGACGATGTCCGCAAGTTATTCGATTGGTTTCTAATCTGTCAAAACACACAAATTATTCTGAAAAAAAAACTGGTATTAGATTCATTGAAGCAAGGTATGTTTAATAATTATGATACATTTATACAATTTTACTTGATAATTTATTGTGACACATTTCTAAATTTGAATAATTTTATTTTTTTCAATTTTTTGAAAAATAACAATGTTTTAAAATTATAATAACTTTTTATAAGGTCGAAAAAAGCTCATTTGGCTCTACAAATTTTTAGTCATAACATGGCTTCAACATCTAGTGATGCAGAAAATACACCACAAAAATACCAAAATAAATTAGCTTTTGAAAAATCGCCATATCTTCTTCAACATGCAACAAACCCAGTTGAATGGTACCCATGGGGTAATGAGGCAATAGAAAAAGCAAAAAGAGAAGATAAATTGATATTCTTGTCGGTTGGTTATTCTACTTGTCATTGGTGTCATGTAATGGAAAAAGAATCTTTTGAGAAGCCTGAAATTGCAGCTATAATGAACAAGCATTTCATTAATATAAAAGTTGATAGAGAAGAGCGACCGGACATTGATAAAGTCTATATGACTTTTATTCAGGTAAGCAATACAAATTATCATATAATAAAACATGATATGCAAGCTCTGTGGTTACCAACTCAAAACTATTTCAGTCATTAACAGGGCATGGGGGCTGGCCCATGAGTGTTTTTCTATCTCCAAATCTTGCACCAATCTATGGAGGAACTTATTTTCCACCAACTGACAAATATGGTCAACCAGGTTTCAAAAGGGTCTTGGAAGCATTAGCCAATCAGGTCATTAAATATGAAAATTATAAATTGTTAAAATTCAAGGTGTAATTTTATTAAATTAAAAATTAATTGTTGATTTATGGAATCTCTTGACAGTGGCATGAACGAAAAGACCATCTTGTCACTTCTGGAGCGGCTTATTTAAAAGCACTCAAAGAAGCAAGTGAACCAACACGTGAAGATGCTGTAACAAATTGACATATATTTTACTATCAATGTATTTTTCCTGAAATAATACTGAGATATATTTTTGCAGGATGATGTCCCATCTTCAAAAAGTGCTGAAACCTGTGTAAAACAATTAATAAGATCATATGAACCAAAATTTGGGGGATTCTCAGATGCTCCTAAGTTTCCTCAACCAGTAAATTTTAATATTTTATTCTTAATTTATGCAAAAGATCCAAAAAGTGAAACTGGAAAAAAATGTCTAGAAATGTGTTTACATACTTTAACAAAAATGGCTAAAGGAGGTATTCATGATCATGTTGGACAGGTAGTACAATACATTGACTAAAAAGTTTGAAGTGCAAAATATGGAAAACAATTATTAACCCTAATCTGTTTTCTTTTATATAGGGTTTTGCTAGATATTCTGTTGATGCCAAGTGGCATGTACCACATTTTGAAAAAATGTTGTATGATCAAAGCCAGCTTCTTGTTTCATATGTAGATGCTTATTTGTCAACAAAAGATTTATTTTATGCCGAAATTGCTGATGATATCGTTACTTATTTAACTCGTGATATGCAGCATAAGGTAAAACCTCGTACAAATATATTTTATTGTAATAATCAATGTATAATGTGGTTTGAACTTATTTTAGGAGGGAGGTTTTTATAGTGCAGAAGATGCCGATTCTAAGCCGTCTCACAATGACACTGAAAAAAAAGAGGGAGCTTTTTATGTATGGAAACATGATGAAATTACATCACTCCTAAATGCAACCATACAAAATCATGACAATTTAAAATTGAGCGACATTTTTTGCTATCACTTCGATGTGAAACCAGACGGAAATGTTTCACCTCGACAAGTAAGAAAAAAAATTCAACAATTTTGTCATGTCATTAATTATATGTTTGTGAACAGGACCCTCATGGAGAGTTATTGTCTCAAAATGTTTTGATAAATTACGGAAGTTTTGAAGAAACCGCTGAAAATTTTAATCTGACTACAGATGAAGTGAAAACACATCTTCAAGAGGCTTTAAAAATACTATTTGTTGAACGCAGTAAGAGACCGAGACCGCATTTGGATGATAAAATTATTACTGCTTGGAATGGTAACTTATTGATCTAAAAGACTGAAAAAACGTATATGAACTCATGTAATATTTCAGGGCTTGCAATAAGTGGATTATCTCGAGCAGCTGCAGCTCTAGATAAACCTGAATATGCAGCTCACGCTGAAGCAGCAGCTAATTTTATCAAAAATTACTTATTTGATAAAAACGCTAAGAAATTATTGCGAAGTTGCTACAGAGATTCATCAAACAAAATAACCCAGCCAAGCAATCCAATTGAAGGCTTTCAAGTGGATTATGCTTTTGTGATACGAGGTTTATTGGATCTCTACGAATCTACTTTCAATACTGAATGGCTTCAATTTGCTGAACAGTTACAGGATATTCAAGATAGTTTATTTTGGAGTGAAGAAAAGGGTCTTTACTACTCGACTACTGCTTCAGATGAAACTGTTATTGTGAGACATACAGATGGTTTGTAGAATTCTATTAAGTAATTCATTAAATTTAAAACTTTATTGATACAACTTGTATTTTAGAACAAGATGGTGCTGAGCCATCGGGAAATTCTGTCGCCTGTGGAAATTTAATTCGTCTATCGTCATATTTATCTTGTTCAGATTACATGCATAAAGCTAAAGAAATTTTACGTTCGAAGCACGATATTCTCACAGCGATGCCAGTGGTCAACCCAGAATTAGTTTGTGCTTTAATTAACTACAATGATTCACCAACTCAGGTGAGCTATGAACATTTCTCATTTTTCATCATAATTTTTAAAATCTGATAATTCATGCGATTGTTGTTTTGATTTTAGATTTATATTGCTGGAAATAAAAATTCTAGTGATACTAAAGAAATGATAAAAATAGTGAGAAGTCAACTTCTACCAGGAAAAATTATTATGTTAGTCGAAGGGGACGACGTGGATAATATTTTACACAAAAAAAATGAAGTTATAAGCAAGATGAAATCTGTCAACGGTCGTGCAACGGTGTACATTTGTCAGCATCGAATGTGTTCGTTACCTATCTCTAATGCAGCCGATTTATTAACGCAGTTCGATAAAAGAAAAGAAGAGTCCGGTGCATAATTTAAAAATTTTTAAATTTTAAAATTTGTGTTAATATTTTTGCAGGACATTGAAAAGATGGTTGTGATTTTTTCGGTCGAAATAGTAAAAAGCAATGAATTATATAAATACTCAATAAACAGAAAAATTTTTTTAATTTTCTAATTAAGTTGAATTTTTCGGATTCACCCGGTTTGAAATAACGTGAAAATCATAGGAAGTTATAAATTTTAGCGCGTTTATATTAAAATTATGTTTGTAAAATAATTACAATTTTTTTGTGTAATGCAATAAAAAAACATTATCATGGATGCTTACTTATGACGCGTGCAATGGATAACGATAATATAACGTTGAATAATTATATTCGACAGTATAAAAAAGTAGTTTTGATAAAAATCAGATTACTTTAATACTTATTATTAAACTATGGGACATTATGTAGGGATATACATCGTCTTTTACAAGATAGCAATAAAAATATATGAATTATAGAAAATCTATACATTGATAGAATAAAAGAATGAATCTTAAAAATAATTAAGTTTTATTGGGAAATGTTTTTTTTAATTCAGCTATTTAGTTCTTTTTTCATTATTGTTGTTGTTGTAATATTTCAAATGTATATTTATATTTTTTTAAAAATAAATATAAAAAAAATTGATTGTACGTTGGTAAATTTGAATAATTTATTAATTTTTTTAAAAAACCTGTTCACCTACAACTGAATTTTAATGCTTGTCCAAAAATGCAACCTAATTTTTCAATTGGACAGAAATAATTTAAAATTAAATAAATAATTAATAAAAACATAAATGATGATTTATTTGAAAGTTAGAAATGACGAAAGTTGAAAAACAATCGTACTGATAAGCTCAGGCAATAGTTATGATGTTTCCCGACGAATCGATCCTTGAAAGTAAAATAAACATAGACAAAAGCTATCATAATACGTATAGATATAAAGGCAGTGCAGAAATGGGATAATATTGAGCTTTCGCGCATGTGCTGCACTGGCGCATAGCAAATTGTGTGCGAGTGTGCGTTACACGCTTAATTATATACGCGCTGTGTCGTCGTCGGCGAAAATAGTTATAAGTACTCTCGCGTGCATATATATACTACCTAGTCGATGCAGATAGGCATTCGAATCGTTCTGTTTTTCATGGAATTTCAGGCATGCGGAAAGAGTCTTGGAAATTTATGGAGCTTTTGTTATTCATTGACAAGATGCGTTTCTATTTTCTATTTTTGCTTTAATGAGCGATTATAGTAATTTGATTTTGAAAAAAAAATAAATAAAAGATACACCTTTTTTTATAAAAAAAAACGCATAATTGAATCGATCAACGACTACGTCAAAATTTTTGAAAAAACTTTCAGCGTGAAAATACATTGCAGCATAGAAGAAAAATAGTTATTTTCCTCTTTTAATAAATAACACGCGAATTATTGATTTTTCTTATTAATAATAATGATGAGCCTTGTAAATTTGAAGGCTTATGTGCATCGAACTGAGTTTCAATGTTATATTAATTATTAATATTATTTAATAACAATTATAATAATAATTCTTTACACGGCATTGACACTGTGCAGCATTGGTGGATCGAATAAACAATTTGGAACTATCTCGTTCATACAAACTTATCGGTGGTTTAAATTTACCTACCCCCGTTGAGGTCAAAAAGTAAATTAACGCACCGACGGAGAGAAACGAGGAGCCGAAGAGCAACAGCGCTAGGCATATGTATACATTCGCAAGCTCCGAGAACCCATTTCCCAGAGTTTAAAACAATAAACTCGCGCAAACTCAAGGTTGGTCCATATGCACAAGTGGGTACATTTCTTCGTAGGCTTTGCACATTCGTTCTGTGGTATCGTGTTTAAGCTCACAAACACTCGCGTGCGTTTACACGTACATGTCGTACGTACAGTGGTAAGGTCAAACGGTTGTTAACCGGTTTTCAAGTTCATTCGATTTTATTTACTGCTTTTCTTGAAATTCGATTATAATTTTTTTTATTTCTGAGACGGAATGCATTTCGGCATGCTACAAATATATAACTGCTATAAATATATAACTGTAAAATTAAAATATTAAAATTAAATTGTCAGAGCTAACAAAAATTGCTTGGGCACATTATTTCAACAAAACTTGCGTTTTGCTACATATTTTTTATGGAGTTTTACTGTAATTTTGGATCTAAAAAAAATCTGTCTCTCTTGCTTTTGATGATTTCCATAACCAAATAAAACTGGTTTCAAGACGTATATTCAACGATGTTTAGCTCACAGGGTGTATGGGGAAGTGACCCAATATGTCAGTAAAGTAAAAGACATGTCGATGTGAATGTACTGTGTATGACATGTCGTGACATTGTGCTCGTTTTTTTTTTCATTTCCGATTTTGTTTGACATTTCGCGCTGAGCCACCCATCGACTCATTTTTTTTTCTTTTATAAAACAAGAGATGACTCTGACTTTTCACGATATTGTATTTGCGTATTTTATTTTTTCAAGTCAGGTTACGCACATTTACTTTTCTTGATGTGATTTTACAGGTATAATGAAATATTATAAGCTCATCCATTGGCGCGTATGTAAAAAAAATTATTTGTTTTAGAAATAATTGATCATAAATAATGATGAGAAATATGCGAATTGAAAAAAATTTTTCACAATCAGATAATTGACTATCTTTGCACGTGTACGCCCGAAAATAATCACATCAATCATTTGAAAGACAAAAAAGAGAGTAGTCGCGGAAGCATGGTAAAGCAGCCCCTTGTATACACGAGTAAGGTGTGGTCAGAAAGAAAAAGAAAACAATAGGGTCGAGAAGGTCACTGCAGACGCGTAAATCCTAAAATTTATTCTAAAAATAGCAGCTAATGCTTGTGTAATATAAGTTGCTGCCATGTGTTTAGCGTAGAGTCGCGCAGAGTAGAAAAGCTAAATTTATTTCGACGCGCTTGAATGAATAAGCCCGAACGTATCGTATACGGAATTTCATCTATAAAATGCACATGACGAATTTTGATGCTCACGAGTTGGAAGGTTCGAACGACGAGCGAGCTCAATCAGATAGTTATTTACTCCGGAGCACATGAGCGCTCGCAGGTCTCACCTACTTAAAAAAAAAGAAGCAGAGACAAAGAGCAAAAGCACGAAAGCGAGCTGGAAAAATGTTGGCCCGTCCACGGGGTGATTCGTGATGTGTATTGGACGTTGGAAGCATATATCGATGCGCTCAGTCGAATAATCTAGCAGTCGCGAAACCGCATCGGTCCAGCAGATTGTGAAACATAAACACGTAGATGTAGAGCTTTCGGCCAAACAGGTGCCCCGCGCGCTATATACACGTATAACAGTCGTGTGCGTCGGGCCAGCGCCGCTTTGGCCTGCTATGGAGCCGCGCACGAAAAACACAGCTCCTGCCTAGCTCGGCGCAGCTTCCATTATGCACGTATATACGTATAGCGTAGCACATCTCGAGCGTGGATCCACAGCAGCCCCTCCACCCTCTCGTTATATAGATAAAGCTCGGCTCGCGCGCTCTAGCACTTGCAAAGTAAGCTCGGCTACGGAAAAGTATAATATCTCTGGTTATCCCCTCCGGTGCGCATGCGTGGGCGTCCTTCTACGGCTTAGTGTGTGTGTGTGTTGGTGTGCTCGTGCGACTGTGTGACTCCAGCGCTGCTGCTACTGCTACTTTTCTGGTCACGCTCGTAGGCAGTTACCGGTCGACGCTCGACTAAGGTGTGCAGTGCGTTGGCTTCCGAAGCGGCTGCAGCTAAACGGTGTGCTTAAATGCGCGATCCGGACAGTTCTGCTGTGCTTTTATTTTTTCTTTTTACTTAGCGCTCAAAGCTCCCTGCTCGAAGCTCATCTCCGAGTTCCGAATTTGTCGGCGTACGCATCTCGTTTCGTTGTTTTTAAACGAGGCTTCGGCACGTGTACAGTGATGCTGCCCCGGCGGTTACGACGTGCCTCGCATCCTGCTGCATCATTATAAATACAACGCGATAAAAATAATCACATAAAGTATAACACAACCCACACCCAGTGCCTCGATCTTGACATGATCGATTAATCAATTGTGTAGTACAAAGAAGTAGAAGAAGAAAAATTGACAGAGGGAAGAACGCGTTTAACGACTAGTGCACAAATCAGTCGGCCAGGATGTCGTTGCACTACTACCCGCAAGCCACGTACCGATATCGCTCGGCGGCGCAGCAACAGCAGCACCTGCATCGGGAACAGCTGCACCAACAGCAGCAATACGGCTCGGACAGCGACGGCAACGATTACAGCGAGTACGACAACGGCGACGAAGAGGAGGCCGACAACGGCGACGAGGAGGAGGATGAGGACGAGGAGGACGACGAGGACGAGGACGGCGAACTCGACGACGATCCGGACTTGCCCTACGAGGGTTTCGTTCCCGTTGCCTTGAAATATCTACATCAGACCACACGCCCGCGCAACTGGTGTCTATGTCTCATTACAAATCCATATCCTTTTTCAATGCAATTTATATGTCGCCATTTATTATTATTAGCCACAGTATTTTACTTTTCTTTTCACTTTAAAACAATATCGATAACGAGAGCCAACTTTTTCTCCTAAAAACTTATCGAATTTTTTTATCAACGATCTAGATAGAGAAAATAATGCCCCCTCGTGTGTGCTTTGGCTGCCCTAACTTTATGATACAGTCGACGATAGGACACGAGTAGCAGTACGTTGTGCATACATCATTAATCTGTGTCCACACAGTGCGAAACTTGGAGGAGATGTTTTGTCGCTTCCAAGTCAATTTTGCGAAATGCCTCTGCTTACTCGCTGACTTGAACGCATTCTAATTAGTTACATTATCGAAGCTGAGCTTAGCTACATTATTCATACTTTTTAATAATAGGAATCAATCTTGCGTTCGTATTTTATGCATGTAACTTAGGATAAAAACAACACGAGTAGCAAAACCACTTTTTAAGCGATCTATTTCAATAAATTCGATAAGTTTTATTTCGGTTAACTGAATTGTCCCGAAAGCACGAAATTATAAGTTTAAAGCTCGCCTAAAAAGCGTCCATTCTCGATAAAAGCTTAATTAAGCGGTTAAATAATCATCAAATACCATCAATATCATAAATAAGAAACGACTCGATAAAAAAGCTCAAGCTTCTGAGAGCTGTTATTACTGACTCATGTGCGTAAACTTTCGGGTACTCGATTACGAGCACACGAAGTACAGATGTAGCTTTTCAGATGCTGCAAACACAATCCCACCCATCGTAAGTCAGCATAAATGTTATTCGATCATTTGACACAGTTTATTGAACGGGAAATAGCGCGATTTTCCAAACTTAACCCCGTTACGCGTATCTTGTTTTGCTCGAGGAATTTCATGCACTCACCCGAACGTTCATTGAAAGCTACACAAATATTAGTTATGATATACATGAGCCGAATTCCGATGCGCGCAGGATACCAATCGCAAATTTCTAAAATAATTCCCCTCTTTCTCTCTCCGAGAGGGAGATAGAGAGAGGCAGAGCTGCATATGGCTCGCTTTTATCATTTGTTTTTGAAAAATGAAAAATAACGCACGCGTTTATAGTACAGACAGAATATGCGTGCTCTCGTATTAACAGACCTTCATACGTCAATCATCAGAAAAGTAAGCACGGCCCACATACTTTCTCGTATGCGGCCATAATGCCTCTTTGGACTTGCAGCGAGCCAGGGCTTACTCGACGTTTTTACAATTCTCGCTCCGCACGAGGCGGAATTATTTTTTTCCCCCAAATATCTGCATCGAGCGAAGCGAGTCCGGATGAACGACGAACGCATTTTCTCAAGCGCGAAAAAAAAGTCTAGCGTGCATCGCATCAACTGGCGGCTTGCAAGCTCTCGACTTTTTTTCTCGCGCGCAAAACAGAGACGTGCATGTAAGCTCTGCGCTGCGTCTGTCTAGGTTATCCTCGAGTGTGTGTTGCATGAATATAAGAGACAGCTCGAGAGAGAAGATGCGCGTGAGATAGGTGTGCAGTACACACATACATATAGATAGAAAATGACAGGCGCCTCGTGGCTTTGCAACTACTCAGGAATTGATTTTTCTCCATCTACGCGCCCGTTTAAAGCTGTCGCGCGATTGCATGGGGGGACAAGTACTGTAATTCCTGTCATATACGCCTACTTTTTTCGGCATACTCACAGAGAGAATATTTTTAAATATTATTAAACATTTTCAATATATTTTAATAAAAAATACGTGAGAACTCATTGAACCCGTAACGTTAATATTTGAAATCGACCTGTGTAAAATACACTATTTTGGACCCGAGCTCTACAAGACACTTGATACGACAAAAAAAAAAGAGTCAACGTGTAAAGTCGCGAGGCAGCAACGAAATAAAAGCGAGTGCGCGTCGCGACTTGTACATTTAATGATCTAGAGTTCACACAGAGCTGCTAATACATACATAATGCATAGGCGAGGCGCACCTGAAGCGCCGTGATCGCGCCGTTGCAACCCTTTTCAACGAATACTCACTTGCGCATACGTACGCACACACGTTCGTGAAAAAAAAGAACCTCACGTGCAAAAAACTCCAATCAGCTTGGCTTTCTCCCTCTTTTTCTCTCTTTCGTTGTAGATTATATATACATGCATTCATTATTTTTATATAGGTCAGCTTGTAACTTCATGATGTTCCAGAGCCTGGTAAAAACACTTTTTTCCTCAAGCAGCTCGTTATTTATTCTCTTTTTCTCACTGTAAAGCTAAATACTTTTCCATGTGGTACGTAGCTCCGTGCACACCGTGACGGCCGTCCGAATGTCCTGGCTCATTTTTGTCACGTGCGGACTTTTCTATAATAATAAAAATAATAAGAAGCATTATTACACGTGCCGTATACAGCAAATACGTTGGGAGCAAGGCGAAAGCGTCACTGGATTCGTATTTACATTGCCATATTTTTAGACTATTTTGTGCTGAAGTTTCAAAATTCACAAGCAGCTTTGGAAAAAAAATATTGTTTCAAGTTGATCGAGAAAATTTATCACTAAATCGATCCATTCAATTTTTTCATTGAATGTTTGCGACGGATCGAGCAGTTACAGATAATTTTTTGCAAATATCGCATGTGTGATTTGTGATTTGCGTGTCAGCGTAAATCTGTGGATGCACGTAAAACTGCGAGTGAAAACGTTGAGGCAAACTGCGCCTGCATCTCGCGTTCGATATGACATCGATGCACAGCTCGGCCTGTTATAGCATAAATGTTTGAAATTATGATTCACATTTACTTGTCAGCGTCGATTTCTGATACGAATTTTCAAAATCTGTATTATTCATTTTTCAAATTCGCAAATCTTTAGATAGACTCATTAAAATTAATTGAATGATCGGACAATTGTCAGTCAGACATAGCCACACATTCGCATATACTCAGATACAGATGAACAACGAAGTTAGCAATATAAGAAAGGGCCAACTCATCGTGACATTTTCAACTTGTAGAGAAAGTAGGTCATGCTTTTGCTTCACGCTCTCTCGCTCACTTGCTCTTACTAGATTGTCTCAATCCAAGGTCTCGGTACTTTTGATATAATATCACTCTTTTGTCTTCTTTTTTTCTGAAGCGAGTTCGCGATTTTTTCATAATTTATCATTGCCTGAGTATACGTTATCCGCTTAAAATTATTCACATCTACGAGAATTATATTGTTGGTGCGAACCTCACGCCGATGCCTTTTTCCAGCCTGTCTCTCCCCCCACTTTTACTTGTCGGTTTTCGTGTCGACGATAAGAATCGTACCTTCAAAACTAAGTCACAGAGCTGTACTGCATTAACGTCTCATTGTTCATCATCATCCAGCTGTACTTGGTAACCTCGCGACTTGTATTTCGAATTTTCAAGCAGTGACTTTTAATTAGTCAGTTGCGAATACATTTACAAGTGTTGAATAGACACGTGCATGTCTTGTAAGTTCATTCGGGTGTGCATTCGGATAGCGGCAACTGTCAAGTGCGCGAGTGCGCGCCCACGTTTAGATTGTGTCCAAAAAAGCATGCATCAGCTCTCAGTGAGCTTTGTCGACGTACAGTCGTATGATCCCGAATTCGGTATATCGTTGATAATAAATCGCGTATTATGCAAAGATTACCGCATCTATACCAGAGATCGAGAGTTGCATCCATCGAGCTTTTATTATTGGATTGCCCTTGGGCTCTCTCGGGCACTGTTCACCAGCAGTGACGGCAAACAACCAAATAAATAACACGCAGTAGCACAAGTGCGCGCATCGCCAACGAGCATAAGCTCGCTTCTTACTTTTTTCTTCTCCAACTTTATTTATATTTCATCGAAAGTTTGTCATTGTCAAGGGAAGGCGCATGATTAAAAAAGTTTTACAGACCAATGTTGCACGGATATAATTGTTTTCTTTTGCTCGTTTGACAAAGTACAAAAATTGTTATCCTCGATATATTGTCTTTTCGGACCCAACAAATCTTAATACGAGTTCATATTATGCGCACATGTAACGTCTTTGATGAACTTCATTGATCGTAGAGCAGCAAGCCTTAATTAACCTCTCGTGCTACAGCTCTGAAGAAAAAGTAAGCTTCTACATATCATTGGTGTATATCAGAAGCATTAGATAAAAAAAGTTTTCTGGGTCAACTAACTATAAGTACCTAGGCTAAAGAGAAAGAAAAGTTTCGCGTTCGAGCGGGCGAAAAAAGCCGAAAGCTTCCGCGATCGCAACGAGCGAATCCTTGTCGCGCCTCCAGCGCGAGAGGAAAAAAACTTATAAGTTTCTACATGCGCTCGCATTTGGAGAGAACTAGAGAGAGAGAGAATAAGGCAAAAATACATATTGCATAGAGCTTCGAGTAAGAAAACAATAAAATATGTGTAGAATTTTAATGAAATCAAAGCTCTACAAAAGTTTTTGCGGTACCAAAACTTTTGAAAAAGCTTGGTTCATGAATTAGACTGATTAACGAAAAAAAAAGAAATAACATGATTTGTTAGTAACAGTAACGAGTGTGGTTAGTTAGAAAAATTAATAAACTTTAATACTTTCGCTTGCCACCGTACGTATAAGTATAATGCAGTGGTTAAAGTTAAAAATACTTGAATAGAGGTAAAAGTAACAAGTTAATGAAGACAGTTTGCAATCAAATAATCAATTAAAGCTTATTTTAACTTGCACATTTTAAAAAATTTCTAATTTTAACTAAAATGAAAATGGTGTTTAAATTATCGTGAAATTTGAAAAATAGAACGTGTGATCGTTGATTTGGTTAGGTCGATGAAATAATTGTTTTATATATTGTGATCAAGGATGCAGTAAGATTTTATGTAATTTTTCTACTTGGATCTGTTGGAGCTCTTTCAATATACATGAAATTACAATTACATACACGGTCAATTAATATTTATTTTAAATTAAATTTTATATTATACACGAAAGAGTATGACTTATGCACGAT